CAATGCATGAATCTTAAAAAAAAAAAAAACTTTGTTAAGTTTGGTTTGTTGTGGATGTGCGAACAACCGCCTGAATTTAAGCATTTAAAAAATTAGCTACAAAAAATCCTTTTTCACTTCCTTGTACGAAGTAAAAGGAAGTACCATAATCTCGAAAAATTTCGAGTATCGCAGTTCAACAGAAATATCCATTTTGACCATTCTCTAACCCATTTGGACGATTTTAAGCTTGATATCTGTTACGTAGGAACAAAATAAAGGACTGTTTTTTTCTAAAATTGATTCAAGAGGGATATTTTCGTAATGTGTGTGCATATGAGGGTATGTATGTATTTATTTCCCATAACTCTAAAACGTGTAACCATAGGACGTTGAACTTTTGTATGTGGGATTGCTATAACATTTATTTATGCACCTCTCTTATTCATTGCAATTGGCAAAAATCCTTATCAATACCATTAATGCTCAACATCTTAGAACTAAAAGAATTTGTAATAACGCGGACCTCCTTCAAGAAGAAATACTCTACTTCATTAAAATTCCGGGTGGGCTATACTGAAGCTGTGCCAAAAGTTCTTACAATTATATATTATGCTCTGTTTTATTCTTCATATGTATCTAAATTAAAAAAATAATTAAAAATTCCTAAATAAATTAACAATAAGCTTAAATTTACACAGCCTGGAAATGAAAGCAAGCGATTCAGGGAATAGAAATTGAGGATAATTACATTTCGGATAACAGTTGTGTTCTTTTCATATTTAATACTCATATTTTAAAACTTAGTAATTTTTTTTGTTAACACCATTACGAAAAGTAAAAGGGTGGGATCACTTAAAAATATCGCTTCAATTTCAATTCAAACATTTTAAAAACGTCTGTTTTTGTTTAAAAACTAAGTATACTTTTCTAAATTTTAATTTTCATGTATTGATTTCCATTAAATATAGAAAAATTACTGCCATTACTTAAACTTGATCACCTTTCTTCATACATAATGGGAAGAAATAAACCTAGAGAAATGTGGTAATAAAAAATATTAATTAAACTTAGTATGATGCAGCAGTAATTGTAAAAATGTGCCGAATTTAAATTTGAGATACTGATTGGCTTTTGCAGTTAAATCATTATCAATATTTTTAGGCAGAAAACTATTTCTTTCAAGTATTACCATGAATCCAAAAGCAGGGTTAAACAACTCCTTTTGTCATGAATACGTTTTGTTGTCTACTGGTCATTACTTAACGTCATAATCCTAAAATTATCTTAGATACATGAATTTGGAAACTAGGATGACTAATTAAATCAACAGCAAGTTTTTATTAAAAAAAATCTTAGCTTACGTTTTTTCCGATTATATTTAACTATCTTAATTTAAACTAAAACTAATTATAAAACCTCGCGATATTTTCTACTTCATATTTTCTCGTCAGAAATCTGATCTTGCTAGGCTTTTGTTGGGTTATGATAATATAATTTAAACGGTTATTGGAGGTAGATTAAAATAATGAAAATCCATCTGAAATTGTAATTAATCTTATCTAAATAGGGAAATAAAATTTCAAATACAGCATTTATCTGAATTTTATCAGTTTACATTTCTTATCGAATTTTATCAATTATTTATTTATCAGTAACTGAGAAACTGCGCATTATTTTGCAGCTGTAGGTAATCTAGCTCAGAAACTTAGTGTAATTAGTCAATGAACCAAAAATTACAATTTAACAAGAGACTAAGACTAAACCAGAAAAGCAAGAGACCAAACCAAAAAAATCTAAATTTAGTAAATATGAGAAATCCAATGCATAATTTATAAGAAAACCTCTAATTCTGTTTGTAACAAGGATGTAAAATAATTAAGTAATGAATTCGTTTCAAACTGTTTAACAAAATACTACTAATTAATTTTAATGTTTATTTAAAATAAAACCAAAAAAATGTTCTTTCGATTATATCGTATCTAAAAAATTTTATCTCAAAATAAAGGAGGTTTTCTTATCACAAAAATTAAAAAATCATTTCGTGAGTTTTAAGTAAATTGTAAAATATTAAATTTTTGAGTAAAAATAAAATGCTTGCAGAAATTTATTTTATGCAGGGGTCACAGTTTTTTACATATAGTAGTAACAAAAGCAATATTTTTCCAAACTGACATTTATACGTTTAGACTCTATCTGATTTAGATGCCTAGGAAAAACCATTCAAAGATATCATAGACTACTTGATATGCCACAGCTTTTTTAAGAATATTAAAGACCATTTTATCCGTTATCGTTTCTAGGCTAAGGCTCTGGACTGTTTGTTTAATTGTCAAAGACAGTGAAATGAGCAGTATGTGTTCTTCAAATATTGCGTTTATGTTTTGATGGAAAATAATAATAAGGAGAAAACAGAAAATTTTATATTTTATTCTAACTGCAGAATAAATTAGCGTGTTTATTCCAAAAGATAATATTTACACTATTACTTTGTGTTTACATCTTTCCGAAGAGGACATAAATTGTGTGTCAAGACTTCGATATAGTTCCTAGAGCTTGAATATTTAATGACTTCAAATTCCTAAACTGAAACTGCGGTAAAATCCTGTTTCATTTGATTGAAAAACTTTGAAACATAAATACTAGTTCGATGATTTCTAAAACCTTTAGAGTGGAATTAATATATTTGCTATAATTTGTTCATTCAACTGAAAGTTTATAATAAATAATAGTCTAAACGTGAGGAATTTGTCAGTTCTTTTTCTTCAAGTATGCTTATTTAGTATAGTATATTGCATGTTTATTTACAATGTATACATATAACTGAAAACGGAAGAAGTCAATTAGCTAGTCAAAAACTGACAAGTAGACACACAATGTTATGACGATATAAGATAACATCGGAGTGGTGAACATAAATTAATTGCTCAGGATCACATATATATCTGTTCACAATTCATATCCTGTCCCCTGGACGTCCTAAAAAAATTGATTTATTTTCAGGACTATACTAGATGGTAACTGGCAAAAAGCCTGCAATTCCACGCAGGCTAAATCCAGTATACAGCGGAAAATGGAATGGATATATATATGTATCTACGTGTGTACTATGCAACGGTGCAGAATTTTCTATATGCTTTTATAGATCACAAACAGAATGCTGTTTTCAAAAACCAACTATTATGATTTAAATAGAACCTTAAACTCGTAGAACTTATGATATCCAATTATTTAAATGAACTATACAGAAACATGAATATCCAGGTAGCTTTCTGTTAGATGCATTTGATTACTACGTTTACTATGCTATCAGTTAGCTCAAGTTGAGAAATATAAGCTGAATTTCTATTCAGTCTCATATTAAAGGATATTAAAGGATAATGAGAACAAATATGCTAAGTTAACGTTGCAACCAGTGCCCAGTGCAGTAATTATTTATGTTATATACGACTAAAAACAAAACTGCACCTACCCGCATATGATAGCACCGGAAATATGCAAATTTAGTGATTGACTTTGTGGTGGGCAATGGACGCATGTTGGAATTCCGGTCTGTAGTTTTGTTTAAAGCGAACGTGGTTCCTGAGTTATCAGTATTCGGTAGTTATGGCTCAAAGGGATCATTTAAGTGAAGGTCAAAAGTGTAGAATAATTAGTAGAATCGAGGGCGGTGAAACACGAATGGAGGTCGACCAAGATTTGATTATCCCTCAAAGTGTTATATCGAGAGCTTGGATCCCCTTTTTAAGCACTGGATCCGTTGAGCCTGGTAAAAAGCGACCAAGAGCAATAACTGCGTCATTAGACCATTTTCTGTCACTAGCTCAAAGAAACCGCAAATCGACTATAAGAGATTTAGTTTTGGAACTTCAGACCGCCACTGGAACTCGAATTAGCCGTTCTACTGCTGCATGAATTGCTTAACGAGGTTAGACTGTGTAGAGACATTAGGTTATTTTTGGAAGCCGAAGAGATGAAAAATTAGCAACCGCCTTCGACGGGAATCGAACCACGGACCTCTGCACGCTGGCCCAGTATTCCAGAACCACTACACCACGAAGGCTCGCTAGGAAAGCGGGAGAAATACCTTATATATTCCCTTTTAAAGGGCGACTGGGGTTTTAGGGGACCAACGCCAAATCTGTGTGTGGAAAGCCTATCAACACCCTTTAGTTCCGGCGCCCACTGTAAGATTTTAAATTACTGAAGCCGGGAGATGAAGAATTAGACCGTCTCGCCGGGATCGAAACCACGGACCTGGAATAGCGGCCACGTGCAGAAACCCTACACACGAAGACGCTAGAAAGGCGGGGAAATACCTTTTTAAAGGGGAATGGGGTTTTTAGGGACCCATCGCCAAACCTGGGTGTGGAGAATCCTCTCCAAACCCTTTTTTATTCGGGCGCCACTGTGTTTCGTTGTACTGTTAAACCTTTCAACTTCATTTGACTGACTTTCAGTTACAGCCCAAGTAGAGGTGAAGTTTGTTAGCGTCGAGTTGACGCACTGTAAATTTTAAAGAGTTAATAAAGTGTTTGAACCCTTCTTCAGTGTAGTTTCTAGCTACTCCTGTATCCATCAAGAAGTTAAGCCACCTGGACTCTACATCTGTATGCGAGAAAACAAATGCTTTGTGTCTTACTCCAGTTTCCATAGAGGCCCCTTTAAACTGGTGCCGTCGTCATATTTAATGGAGCCAAGACAACTGAACCAGAGTATTGTTTACTTACGAATCCAGATACAGTCTGAACAATGATTCTAGACAGATTTTGATCTGGAGGGAGGAAGGAACACGCAACTTGCCTTACCTTGTCCGTAAAATATCCCATTTCCGTAACCGCGGTTTAATGGTTTGGGGAGGAAGCACGACAAATGACAGCACCAAGCTGCTTATCTTTCAAGAAGGTTCTATAACCGCTCGGAGATATGTGGAGGAGCTATTAAAACCCCAAGTTAGACTGTTTAGGGGTACTGATAATGAATGACAATGCTCGGCCTCAACGAGCATATGTGGTGCCGGAATGCTTGCAAACAGAAGATATCACTCGAATGGATTGGCCACCTTACTCTCCCGATTTGAGCCGGATTTAGCATGTGTAGGATGCCTTAAGGCGCCGAATTCAGCGCCCCATATTCCTCCCCACACCCTCCAGAAGCTGAAAAGTGCACTTTTAGAAGAGTGGCATGCAGTTCCAAGACATAACACTTTGGTAAAGTCTATGAAATCAAGATATGAAGTATGCATATCTGTACGAGGTGATCATACACCATATTAATGAAAAAAATTTTCCCTCTTTTTTCAGTTTTTATAAATTTGGTTTTAACTTCAATATTTTGCGAATAATCAACTGCCAAACATTATAATTTGTGTTAACTAATGATTTTGTACAAATTCATATTATTAATTTTTCATTAAGAATCAGTTACATTTTCTTTTTGTCATTATTTTTTAATTTTGATGATCAGTGTAAGACCATTATTTACACAAGTGAAATAGTCTGCATTTTTTCGTAATATTCTGTGCCTAACTGCAATGGTTTCAACTGATTTCGGGTTTTTCTTCTCAGAACCTGTCCTCTCCGGAGTCATACGGCCTACACACCACGAGTCATTTTTTTATAGAAGCATCACCAGGTGTTCTGCTGGGAACTTGGTACATTCCACCAAGCCACTCAGAGCAACATCACTACCTCTCGCATCTTTCCTCGTTGACTGACGATGACCGTCCCGTCGTGTTATATCTTCATGGCAGTGCCGAATCGAGGTCAGCGGCCTATCGCCGTAGCATGTATCATGTACTCTCCAATGAACCAGTGAACGCCCATGTGATCACCTTCGATTACAGGTCTGTTTAAATATTGTAAGGTAGTTTACGTTAATTAACCAATTCTAATGATTTAAACCTTTACTATAACTTATCCTTTTCACAAGCTTTCATCAGGATGCACATGAAGTTGAATAAGTGCATTTAATTCGAAGTTTTTGAACGTTTTAGAGATATAGCTTTTGGCAGCGGTTGGTCGGAGCTTTATTTTCTACCACCCCAAACTAATTGTTAAGCGCATCAATTGTTAAGAATATGTTAACTGTGAAACGTTTCCCCTTAAAGAAAAGATCAAGTAAAAACAAATTAAATATATTTTCAAAATTGTGTCATAACATTGGATTCTGAAATTTTATTCCTTTTGTTTTTATTTTGCTGTTGCTTTTCAGGGGATTTGGTGATTCCAGTTACATATCTCCAACAGTTCAAACCCTGGAGCAAGATGCTATTTCTATGTTCCATTGGCTGAAAGAAAAAGTTCCTGCATCGCGCATTATAATCTGGGGTCATTCCATGGGTACTGGAATTGCTATCAGATTGGGAGAGTATTTGGCTTTAAAGAACAGCAGCAGTCCTTTGGCTATAGTTCTCGAAGCTCCTTTCACAAGTGTTGCAGATGCTACTCACACATTCCCACTCTCTTTCTTCCACAGACGACTCCCGTTTTTCCAACAATTCTGCTCTGATCGGACACGGCATCCAGATACAGATATGGATAATGAAGATCGTGTGAGCAAAATTACAGCTCCTCTATTAGTTCTGCATGCTGCTGATGACAGTATGGTCTGGTCGGAGCAGGGCAAGAAGGTCTGGAAAAAAGCAATCGAAAGCCGAGGACCCGATTTGCATAAGCCTGTCTTTGTTGAGTTAGATGGCATGTATGGCTGTGGTCACAGGAATATTCATAGAGCTCCTAACTTACCACAAGAAATTTACAAATTTCTTTCAAGCGTAAAAAATCATTACAGAACTATTGAAGCATGCAAAGTAACCTAAAGTAAGTTTCTTATCATGGAAACCTGTTTCTTTCACGCAGAAAAAAGGCCAAAAATATTGCTCAGTAGTACAATATTTTCAGTATTGTTATTTTGTTAAAATCTGTTTTCATTTTTTTGTATCTTAAAATTGGGAGAACTTTAATCCACTTTAATAAATCAGAATACCACGGATACTTTTTAATTGAAAAATATCTTGTCCATACCAAGCTTCTTTTACTGCACTGTTAAATGTAGTAGCCATGCATTACAATGAAAAATACGTAGATTTTCATAAAAATGGCAATTCAAGTTGATGACATCGTATAATTAGTATACATCATATATTATCTATTACTAGACTTTTAAAATTCTGTATTTCGCGAAGTATGGGATTTCATCTTTAATAAGAAAAACTTTTCACATCTGCATTTGACTAACTTAATTTCTTGTTCTCAAAATCTTTTCTAACATAATGTTATTGATTAAGTCAACAGTAAATAGTATCAGTCTTGGAGATTTTTTTATTCTACAGTAGTAAGCTTTAAACTTTGTCGACCCGCGTAACCCTTAGAAGTATGAGGTTTTTTTTCGGGGAGCCCCCATCTTACCATTAGAAAAATATATCTTAAAATAATATTTAAAGCAAATCAGTATGAAAAGAAAAATACTGTATTTTTATTAAAAATTTACATAAAATTACTGTAATTTACTCCTTAATAGCATTAACTCGTGCTCCAGGTGTTACCTAGCTTTGCATAAATATTTACTGATAGGGGTGTGCTTGCCTTTTTTTACATAAACTGTGGAAGTCTTGCGCTCTATTGATGTTATCTGCAGGCGCATTTCATATTCTGCATTTAATTTGTTTATATATATAATTTTGTTGCCGCATATGTTGAGAAAGATTTATTAGGACTTGTATTCCTTTTAATTTGTTTCGGGAACATGACGTGTCCTGAATAGTAACAGGGAGCTTACTCAAGCTATGTTCAAATATGTATGGAATGGACGACACAAGCAGGAAGGGTTAACTTTACCCTTTATTGTCCAAGATATTACAGGTGCTTCCGCACTTCGGGATACAAAGACCAACCACTTGTGATCTCAATGTAAAAATATAAAAACGACACGCAAACTGCCGAAACTACAATACGTTTTAAATATCAAGAGGACTAAACCTCTATTACGAAGCGATTAACGATACGAATGCGAAGTTCGAAAGGCGAGTGTAACACTTGACGATTCTTGTTCGAAAGCTATTTTGTTTAGCAGTTGCTCAGTCTAATTTTGATCTTGAGTGGTAACAAAATACAGAGACGATATCTTTCGTTATATTTATGAAAACACAAAATATCTCAGTAATACAGACACATCGCAACGGCGAACCTATAGTTACATAAGATAAACGCCAGAAAATTTTGCAGCGCAACAGGGCCCTTTATACTGGAAAAGTTCTAACAACTCTGGCCTTAAGGGCGGCAGCAGCTGATTGTAAACTCGCGTGTATACGTGAAGCGGCTCACTTTTCCCTATCGAACGTTGCAAAAGCTAAACTTGATACTTGGGCGTTAGCAATAACAATTTTTATAATACAACTTAAACGCGTTTATTGACCGGAAGTGGAAAATAAGAGAGGATAGTAAAGTTTTAAAATAAAATAAACGTTAGTACAACTTAAGATCCTTACAGATTTATCACTTAAATACGTTTCTTCGAATTCATAAGAAATGTCTAACTGTGGGAGAAACTCATTATTCTGCATAAATCTGCAACCAAAAATTTAGGACCCGCTCTGGCTTAAATTTAGATTTTTATGTCGAATCTGTTGATATGTCTATAAGTTGTTCCCTATCTTTCATTTGCAAGCCTTCTGATTTATCTTCCCACTCTGCAACGGATTTTTTATCCTGTCTTAGTTAGTTTTCTCTTTTGGGAAATATTCTGTTTTCTTCAACCGAAAAAGGTCCTGCATTATGTAACTTTTAACATTGTCGTCTAAATGTAATTCATTTTCCATCAGAAAATTGTTTTAATTTTGCATAGCATTACATTATGTATATAATTATATATATAATTATATATATATGTATATAAAACTACCAAACTAATGCAGAATTTTATAGAGTAAAAAGTACTTAAATCGGTGACTTTCTTTTTAATTAAAAAATTTTCTAATGCCCGATCCCCAAATTAGTTACTGAGGCTTCTGTATGAGGGTAAGAAAAAACTCTTATAGTACATAGAGACGAATTTAAAAGAGATATCATTAAAAATGCTTGCATAAATAAAAAGTCTCATTTTTTTGGTTCGAGATCAAAAGTGTCCATTTGCGTACTCAAGGCATTCCATTTCGTTGCGTAGATAAAGGAATGGGATCTACATCACTTTCAGATTCTAGTAGACATGTCTAGTTACAGTACCAGACATCGGAAAACTTTACTTTGTGCGCATATCCACACTAACAACTGTCATTGTGGGCATCCTACCTATAACATCAATAGGAAATTTAAATAGGAAAATTATACTTTTTCTTCAAAAAAAAAAAAAAAAAAAAAAAGTTGAAACAGTTATGAAATTCATCAGTAATTTTCTTTCAACCCTTCTAACTTTAAAAAAGGTAAAGGTTTTGCATCTTTTTTGTAAATCACTGAAACTGTTCCCTAAAACGTTGACTAGATTTGCGAAATTCGCAAGATTGCTCCGATTATATTTAAGGAATATTACGAAATAAAAACTGTTCACTTGAAATCTTGATACATTTTAAGCAAAGTCAATATAAAGAGGAAAAGACTGCATACTTTATCAAGCTACTACTATTTATAAGAATGTAACTTTTTGCATTACTCAAGTATATCAAAGGAGGAAGGAGGACTTAACAATTCGCAAAATTAGCTTATATAGATTCTTAAAGTGCACAGATATTAAAAAAGTAAAAAATAAAAAAAAAAAAATTATCAAGATAAATACGTAAACAAAAAATTCTCGATTTGATGTCATTCAGTTAAACATCTACCCAACACATTGGTTACATGTATATTTTTTTCCGTAAAATTCGAGCTTCTGTAATGTTACTAAGTAATTAGCGACTAATTTCATTTTAACTTCTAACCATTTTATTTTTCTAATTATTTCCTAAACAGAAAATTTATAAAAATTAGAAATGCCTCAAAAATGTCTATTTAAAGCAAATAATAAATAATGCATGTTTTTTTATTACGATAAAAATCTCATTCCACTCAAATAGTAATTGCAACAAATTAATATTGTTACATATATTTAAAAAAAATAAGTAACTTAAATTATCTTTTGTGGATGTTTTTAAGTTAAAGTAAACAAATGGTTGAAGGATTTACAAATAGTCTTTGAAATTCTTTCTCTGCAGTCGATAAGAAAAAATGCAAAGTAACTATATTTTATAAAACTGCATAAAAAACCTTTGCATAATAAATATAGCATTGTCTTAAATAAAAATCCATTTCAAAAATAATAATAGCATCGTGAATGAAGTAAAATAAATACATTGAATGCAAAGCAAAATGCCTTTAAAATTAAAAAAGTACCAAAAAGTTACCAAAAATGCTTTTTAGATAAGATATGGGCAACTTTTATTTTCTATTATTTTCATTTGTGGTCTCTAATTTGTTTAAAGTTGCATAAAAAACCCACTTTTCATTCAGTGAAGTAGCAAATGTGAAATCCTCTTTTTAAGCATCATTATTAACCTCGGGCTACTTTTCGAGGAATAGAAGATCCTTAAGAGCGAAACTAATTGAAAATGAAGGAATAGGTTACTTGCTCATTCAGTTATCAGCTACAAATAGACTAGGAATTTCTCGTGTCATAAATTATTGAAGTCATTTTAATAATATATTGGTTTTCCTTTTAACTAAGCATGACTAAGCGCTTCTTCCTCCGACATTTCCTTTTTCGTACTCCAGTGAACAAATGAAAGTCAAGTGATCCTCCTGACATAACGGGTTGCAAATGTTCGTGATAACACATAACAAAAAGAACGTCATTCTTAATTTACGTGATAACTTCCCTTCAATTAGCTTTTAACCGTGTAATGTGGTTCTACAAATGTCTGAGCCACAAGTTTTTTTTTTGTTGTTGTTGTTGTTTTACATTATCACACAAAAGCAGTTTGTTGCATTGTGAAGAAATACATTCGATTATTAATTATAATTATATATATTATCATATATATATATATATTCTATCTTTAAGTGATAATTTAATCGCAATCTTTGTACCTTTTATACGAAATAAATTATTTTAATAAATTACAAAACAGTTCCTATTTTCTTTTTATGGATATCCTGTAAATTTCAAACGAAATATAAGGCAATCAAAAACTGTATTACTTTTCCTAACAGAAAAGGATTTGGTAACATTATGAATTCGTTAAAAAATTAAATATAAAAATGCAATGTTTGAGAGTTTGTTATTACGAAGAGATTTATAATAAGTGATTGGTTTACTGTTTCATACTGTACTTCCTCGCGTAGCTAATTTTGTCGTCTGAAAATCGAGAGAAAAAAATTATGTGTGTAATTTAATTCCGAAAATCGCGGCTATAATAAGAACGTAACAAGTGAAAAGTAGTCACTGATAAACTACTGTTAACTATCATAATGTTATTTCTTTAAAAGAACCTACATTCGAGTAAGAATACATAGTAATATTATCATTCCAATATCTGACGGGTAACTTACCTTGTAAAATCACAAGGTTACCTGACATGAATTGATCACACTTCCCCAGAAGCACATTGGAGGCATGAAAGAGAAAGGGGTCGAACAAAAGACCGGAACTTCGTAAGATCGAGCACATGAGTATTAGATAAGCCTACAATGAGCTGGAACATAAACAAGAGAAATAAAGTGAAATTGTATATTTGGAAAGTTTTTTAAGTGTGGTGAGAATGCCTGCCACATCCGAGTAACTTAGCGAAGAATCTGCACAAAAGAGTTTCAATTAATAAATGTAAGCGAAAATAAAATGGGTAAAAATGCTAATATAAAAATGCAGATTAAATACACTAAATAAAAATAATCAAAGGAGTAAAATTTACCAATAAACCAGCCTTCGAAGGAGAAACCTATGTACAATTGAAAAACGGGAAAATTATGCGAATATTTTTTTAATTTTCGTAACTAGCGCTAAAAAACTAAAGAGGAAATACAGTATTT